CCAAGACACTATCCCTAAAAAGCCTATACTTAAGGATTTTTTGGTCAAAAGTCGATTTTTTGGGAGTTGAAATCGAATATGAGGCCAGAAATATGTGAAATCATCACTCGATTTGGTCATGTAAGTACCCAAAATGTTTGTAAAGGACCATACTAGATGTTCAAAGGCAGAAAAGGTAGAAATCATTTGCTTTTACCTGTCAAACCGAAGCTCGTATTCGTGATTTGCTCATTTTGGCCTGAAATTTGTCTAATATGTGTGAATCAATTGTCGCCAAATTCCATCCAAATCGCAGTCTGACAAGTACCAAAATTTTTGTACAGGTTCTAGCTACACGACACAAGTCAAAAACTGAACAAAAGTTTACCGCCTGGGTGACCAGTAGAGCAAAAAATGCGAAAAATGCCGAAAATTTGCCATTTTTTCGGTCATTTTACACTGTAACTGGCCCAGAAGGCCTTTTCAAGGGCTGATGTCTTGGTAAAAGTTGTAGATATTGACGAGTCAAACAAAACCTCATCAACAGTTTTTGACGAAAATTGGCTAGAATAATGGAATCGGTCGAAATGTTGCGATCTAAAATGGCTTCCGAAATCGCTGTCATGAAAATTTGCATATGGGACTTGGCACGGAATTTTATATGGTACCCATATCGTTTTTTTGGACAAAACCTATTTTTTTTAGGTATATTTTTCGAAACTGGACGTTACTTTTTTTCTTCGACCATCTTTTTTTTTTTGGACCACTCTAATGCATATAGTTTTGAAAGTTTGTACCACACTTTTCTAGTGTAAAAATGTCAAAAAGTGCCATTTTTCATTTTTTTCAATATTTGGGTCACCCTAACTTTTCATCAGGTGGGGAAGGTCGCCCTAATTTTTTGGCTTTGCGAGTTTTTGGCCATAAGAAGTTTATACACCAAGTTTGAGCGAAATCGGAGAGGTCATCTGCAATTTTTGTTACACTTGGTGTGGAATGGTCGATAAGTGTTTTTATTTAAAATCCAGTATTCGTTTGTATCGTCTTGCCTTGTCTTGTCTTTTATTTGATAATAGAGATAAAACGAAATTTACCATCTCTAGAGCCTAAGCAATAGCTGTCAAACAAACAGTGATTTTGACGGCAATGTCTGATATTTCATTGATGGATGTATTCAATGCAATGCCAAAGAATCACTTCACACGTTGTGTGATTAAATAACATAATATTTAACATTTAAAATTTAAAAAAAGTAATTTAGCACGCAACGATTTTTTTCTTCTCAAATAACCTCGTGCAGCTTGGCGTCATTTCATCCACTTCCATATGTTTGCAATGATGTTTGAACTTTAACAAGCAAGCTTCTACAATACAAATTGAATGCGAGTGGAGACGCTACAAAAATGACTCCAAAATCGCCGATTAATGATCGAACTACTTTTGCGAACATTTGTCACTTATTATTTACATCCGAATTTGAAAATGAAACTGAAGCTGAAACTGAAAACTATTTGACAACAGACAGCCAATTTAAAACTGACAAGCTGAAAAAGTGCGTTCGTGAAGAGAGTGTTCGTTTACGCTACTGCTCAATGTTTGAACGTACTTTAGTTTGCAAATTATTATCGTAGTATATTGTAATTTACATTGATGTTGCCTCACATTGAATCATACAATTCTAGGGATATACAAACAGAGAGAAATACAGCATAGATTGGCCAATAAACATAACAAATATTCGGTTGTAAATGTAGAACAAACCTGGGTACGTTCCATACATATACTCATCTAAACATCTGTTGTGTATTGACATTTCGTGACGTTCAAAATAATCTTATAGAGAGAATCTGTGCATCAGTTTGTTTTAGGTCCCGGACTTGCAATCATCATGTTTGATCGTTTGATAGAAATTAATAGAAAAGATTTGCTTGCACTCAAAAATCTATACTCGCCCGATGGATCCAAAAGCTATATTGCATACACAACTCTTGATAATTACATTCGATGGTTTGAACAAGACCCATGTATCAAGCACATTAGTGCGTTCTGTTTGAATGGAGATTTTTCAGATGGTACATTTGTGATCACCGTGAGTTGCTTTCAAACTAAAATAATTTTGAAAAATATATTTTTTTGTATCATTTTAAGGACCGTTGTTCAATTTATGTTGATACATTTAACGAAAATCTCGATAATCTTCTGCGTTTGCTGAAGTTGATTGATTATTCGAAAGGTTATGATTTTTTAAGTGTAAGACCTGCACTTCGTCCCATCGTAAGGGAAGCACTTTCAAGCATTTCGGTTGAAATTGTCACCGATGAACCAACTTTGTTGTGCTACATGCGCAAAGAAGAAGCCTTGAAAATCAAAGTGCAGTGAGTACAAACAATTAAGACATTAAAATTAAATCGACAAAATGAAATTTTCTGCAGTAACATCAACAATATGTACATTTCTTCAGTCCTCCAGATGGTATTCAGTTGCGCCAAATCACAAAAGATTCGGACATTGAGAAAGTGAATGCAGTTTGGCCAGAGCGTAATGAAAACAGTTTTCAATTTTTGAAACGGATGATAATGAACAACATCTGTATCGGTGTGTTCAGAGAGGAAGACGGACGACTGTTATCATGGAATTTAAGGTTATTTTATGTTTCATTTTGTAACAAAATTATTATTAGCAAAATGGCCAAATAAAAATTTAATGATCTTTATTTTTTTTTAATCCAGACTTCCCACGGGATTGCTCGGTGTACTGCAAACGGATCAAGAATTTTATGGACGTGGCTATGCTACTCTTGTTAAAAAGGCAATTGCACGAAAAGTTGCCGAATCAGGTGATGATATTTATTATGATATCTTTGCAAACAATACAGCAGCTAGAAATTTGGCCAATAAACTTGGATTTAAAATTATTGGAGAAGTGTATTGGATAGCAACCAAAATTACATGGACCACGGATGATGAATAAATTCAATTTGATTTTTGATCGAAGAAAACAAACATAAATTGTAACAAAAACAAATATCATTTATATCAGACGAAAAACCTCTAGACGTGGTTAAAATGGAGTGACGCTCCTGTGAATGGATTTAACACTCAAAATGACTGATATCATTTTGAGTGACGCTAGGACGCTGTATTATTACTGGGTACGAAGTTCAAAAGTGTTTTTCGCATTCAATATTGTGAAAATTTATTTACAATAAGGGACAATATCGCGTCACGACTTTTGAATTTAGTCTCAAAGTGAAACTTTAAAGCGTTTTGCCGTCCAAAAGTCGTGACGTCACTCCATTTTGACCACATCTAGAGGTTTTTCATCTGATATCACTACTTTTGTAAGGCAAATATTTTCGGGAAAATACACTTCTGCCAGATAAATGTCATATTATTAGAAATATGCTATTTTTTCGTACAACATTTGCATCCCTATTTCACAAATTCTGGAAATAGTAAATTCCACTTACATCCAAAATGTCCCATATCTCCCTAATTTCACACTGTAAAATGCGATAAAATTTCAAATAGCCATAAAAGAAATGTTGAAGTAATTGTGGATCCTTATTATTTCAATAAAAAATAATTATTCTCAACTACCAAAGCTCTGGGAAATGCGTTTTTTATGTATACCCCGAACAAAAATTTAATTTCATACATTAACCCTTTATCACATATCGCTTCCCAAAGTAACCAGATACGCCAGACGCAATAGCTATGGACCCATTGGATATTTTTGCATTCTTGTTTGGAAACAAATGTAGGGAATTGAACTAGCTTTCATTTGATACTTTACAGGCTACAATCGGTAAGCTGAATGGAAAGTTATTTCTGTTCATGTACTGCTGTAAAAAAAATGCGAAATTATAGCAGAATTCCACATTTTTCCTCCTCTTAAGAGATAATTATCTTGTGGGGTTTGTACATTCTTTTCAATTGTCAAATTAGGAGTCGTAGGACCAAAACACATCAATTTAACTTTCTGCATCATTAGTTTTATGAAATTTAATTTTTTCAAGCTTTTATAGTGATTTGACACTTTTGAATCTTTTCCGATTTTCTCGACAAATACGCAATTTTTCAAAAATCTTAGTATGAGGTCTTTCTCTATTTATCGTGGCACAAAACATGTATCAAAATGATTCAAAAACAAAAAATTGTGCATCAAAGGGTTAAGATGCAAAAATGCTGATTTATGACCAAAATAACAACAAAATGGGTATTCAAGTGTTCGTAGACTCCCATTATTTTTACGAAAAAATAGCAGTTTTCTACGACCAAAATGTCGTTAGAGGTGCATTTCACGTGTTTTCCGAACAAAAACATCATTTTCAATGAAAATAGAGCAAGTTGAAAAATTCACTTCAATCCGACCTATTTTTCGACCATGAAATGGCTTCAGACCGCATTGTGACCACTTTTAATCGATTTCTCGTCGAAAATTAAGCGGATATGGTCTTTCTTGAGCCTTTCCAGCCAGTATGTATAGTATAATGTAAAATTGGCCGTCGTACACCTGCATGCAAAATGCGCATGCAAAAGTGTGCGATCGGTAATTATTCAATCGTCAAAATACCGTATGCTCGCTTATGCGAATGCATATGCGATGCGTTTGGTTCGGCGCCCAACATAGTATGACAATCATTGAATAAAATTTAGTCTCTTATCAACAATTAACCGAATCGTTTCACTTAATAATATAATTTCTATAGTGAAATGGATGTTTTCTTTCCCATTTCGGATACAAAAGGATTGTTTTTTGAATTTGAAATTAAAACATTCAGAATTATTTTCAATTGGAGTGTAAGTTTTATTTGTGCATATTTAGTTTGGAACGTCAAAAATACATCACACAATACATAATTCAAATATAATCACTGTCAAACCAAGAAGT